TTTAGGGCAAGCTTTCTTTGGCCGAGAGCATTGTAAAGCCGCGCTTCAACGACTCCCACATCGCATCCACTCTTTAGATATCCGCCATGATCTCCGCAGTCGGAAAGTCCCTGATTGAGCTGTATTTGGCAAGGGCTAGGACTGGCCAGCTGAGCACCGCTTCGGTTGACAACCGCGCCCCCTGTACATGTGAGAGCCAGCGACGGTGGGCCACGTGCACAGGCAGTTTCACTGAGTCCAAGTAGCGGGAGATGCCTTCACAACGCGGTAAGTTGAGGTTCAAGCCCGCGCACGACGCAACCACACGGCTTTCGCGACTTACAATTTACAGTTCCAGATCGTTCCTCCCAAGGTTGAGCGACACAGCTCGCCCTCGACCGAACGGGCCGTGGATATCCAGACGGAAGTTGAGGGATTTTCGGGGTGCGTGGACCAGCTGCAGCAGGATCACGCCACCATCGTCGAAGACAGTCTGTCCGCCCACATTGACGACGCGTTGCAAACGACCCGCAGTCTTCGACCGAACCACACCACGACCGAAACACATAGGCCGGGCGGAGCCCCTCACCAGCACACACCATACGTACTGCCCCCACCATAGGCCATCACGCAACCGCTGGGGGGCCCGCCATCCATCTGTTGTTTGGTTTTCCGCTTGCCGCTTCGCAGCGCGATGTCGGCGGCTCCTCCGTCGCGGCCCCGGCCGCGACCACAGAACACGAGACCGTCGAGGTGCCCCACCTCCCCAAGATCACAGAGGCATTCGAATGGCATCAGAAGCTTGGCGAGGCCTTCAGCGAGCATCTGGTAGACCCACTGCCGCCTTTAAGTTCATCTGCGTCGCCGAGCAGCCTGGCGTCGGATTGGAAGATCCTCGCGAAAGTGGTGAATTCGAGAGTCTGGAGTGTAAGCTTGTCGCTGTGCTCACCCAGATTATCTCCGCCGAGCTGCGCCAAGTTCTATCTCTTCAAGAACGCACAGTACTGGGTGGGGCGCATGTTCAAAGGTTGCCAAGTCTACTGGCTCATCCTACGTTCTTGCGACATCGGACTTGAGCATGCATATCGGCAAAGTAAGTCGCAGCGACATAGCTAGCAATAGGGGCGAGGTATGAATGAAAGGGGGGGATGGACGGGAAGGCTGTTACAGGAAGAGGCGGGGTGCGGAGGGGGGAGGTGAGTACTGTTCGCCACTCGTGTCAGCCTTTCGAAAATCATAAAGATGTCACTTGGCCGCCTGAGTTCCCAGGAGGTTTCGAGCGTGTACGTGGTTCATGAGAAAACAGCGAGAATGTTTCGATCGGGGGCTTCATGTGTGAGGGAAAAATAAGGACATCCTGAGCCCCCCCCGCCGAGCTCCCATTTTGCGTTCTTTATTTGACTCGCCATCCCCAGCGCTATATACCAACAAGTCTTTGTCACCTGGCCATTTGAATCTTTAGCAAGTTGGGGATGCTTCGGGCGAGGACTTTGTTCGCGAGTACATGGCAACGACCTGTCGAGCGTGAGTCCCCTTTCTAGAGGGACGCAGGGAAACCCCCTTTTCCCCCCACCCTGCCAGTCCTTCCTCCTCCCTCCTCCTCCCTCCCGCCCAATCCCTCATCCTTCTTCCCTCCTTTTTCTCTCCCCCTTCCCCCCCCCCCCGCCCCGCCTCCCTCCGTCGCTCCTCCCTCCACAAGTACACACTATGAATACTACGCTCCTCTCGCCCCTGTTAACGTATTGTTTTTCTTGCACACCGGATTCCTGGGAAATGAGTTTTCGCTGTGGTTTTGTTTCAGAATGTTGCTCCCGCTGAAGCGCTGGCCCCATTTTTGCGCCTTTGGTTGTTCCAAATCGTGCTTCTGTTGCAGCGCGGGCGTTTTCGGTCCTGCCAAGTAGGCCCCAACATGTAGAACATGTTCCCCCCGCCCGGGAAAACCATCGGAAGTGATGATACATCCGGTGCTGATTCGTTGATTTTCTGGGCCGCGAACCCCCCCCATTGTGGGGCGTCGTCGTTTTCAGGAAGTCTCGAGCGGGAGCCTCGTCTCTGCTTCGAGAAGGAGATGTTGAAAGCAGAGCTAGCGGGTGCTCTCCATCAGCCCCGCCTTGTGTGGAGCATTTCGAGGAGCCCAAGGAGCCAGACATTGAGCCACGATTCTAGACCAGCCCAAACCTCGTCGAAATCGATCCATTTACCCTCTAAAGAGACCTGGCGACATGCCATGACATGCTGTGCGGTGTTGTGTTGTGTTCTGCGCCGCTTTGCAATGCCATGTTTTGCGTTGCAGCGCTGTGTGATGAAATGCTTCACTGCGCCATGCCACGCCATGCTATGGCATGCTACGCTCAGCCGTGCTCTTCTGCACCATGGAATGCCGTGCTTTACCATGCATCTCGCCCTTTCTCGCGATCATTGCCCTGCTCGACATCGGACTGTGCGAATAGAGTGGACATCTACGCCATGGTAAGAGATGGGAGGGAGGGGGACGTCAGATATGACGCGGGCGCACCTAGCTCGCCCTCCCCCTCCCCCCACCCTCCTCCATCCTTGCCTGCCGGGTGCAATTTTCAATTTTCTTCGTCTGCAGGGAGCAATTCAGCATTCCAACGGTAAGATCCCGCGCGACAGCCTTTCAGGAAAATCGACACAACCTGGACAAGTCTATACTTGCGGCGACGCGCTTTGGGGATATTGGCTCGACATGCGCGAGCCATGTTGAGAATACTAGCCCCCTGGACATGGAGACTAGCCGAAAACCCTCAGGTGCTGCATTGTGTGCGAAGTGCGTGAAAAGCGTGCCGAATTTTGACTGTCTGGAGCCGTCTTGAAGTGCCTGCATATTCGGGACGGCGGGCGCCACAACCATACAAACGACCACGTGCTCGGGGTCCGACGGCACGAGCAGCGCAACACCGCAGAACAGACCGACCGTGGCCCCGGATGCCGTTTTTCTGCAGCACTTGTCAAGATGAGTCGATCTGTGCTGGCCCTGCACCGGGCAAAGATGCCCGTGGCGAACACATCGCCTAGGCGTAAAAGTCACCTTTCGCCGGAGTGACCTTTGGTGCGGGCACAGATGGGCCCCCAGATGGCCGAAAGAGAAGCGGTAGCAGCGGCTTGCGCGTTCGTTTTTGGCCCCGCGGTCCCCACAAGCCGCGCACCAAAGGTCACTCTTACCTTTTCGTCACTCTTGCGTGTAGCCGAACACAACTGCGACGCCAGGGTCTCAGGAGAACGCCTCCCCCCCTCGCGCCAGCCCCTGGCGCGCGCCGCCAATCAGGGCCACCATCGCAGACATCAGGGGCTTCCTCGGGGACCACGCCGCCAGCCTCGTCAGCGCGGAGCCGTCGATCCGCCTCCTGTCCCAGGGAGGCTCACGCCGTGCCGCCGGCCCCCCCGGGGAATGAGCTGCAAGCGGGCGTCCGGCGCGGGGGGCGGCGCGGGAGCGTCGGGGGCGTCGCGGGGAGCCCACAGAGAGCAAGGGTGTTCATTGAGCGTACTTCCCAAAGCAGGCTTTGCAACAGGATTTCCTGTTGTGCCAGGCCTGCGCCAGCCAGACTTCCTCGGGTTGCTTGGTCTTTTTTGTCCGAACCGTCCTGTGGTGTTGGGTCTTCGTTCTGAGTGGACAGCGCCCCGCGTCTCCCACCTCTCCTCCCCCTCCCTCCTTCCCACCTACCATCCCAGTCCTGCTTCTGCCCTCCGCATGTCTCTGTTTCGGCACACCCCTCACACGCTTCGTGGCTTCATAAGGAGCTCCAGCTGAGGCCCCAGAGGGAGGATTCGCATGGCACCGCCGGCCCATTTCGGCACACCCATCAGACGGTTTGTGGCCCCATAGGGAGCTCCACCTGAGGCCCCAGTGAGAGGGTTCGAATGGCACCACTGGCTCATTTCGGCAAACCCCTCGAACGTTTCGTGACCTATAACGAACTCCAGCTAAGACCCCAGTGGGGGGGTTCGTATGGCACCGCCGCCCCATTTCGGCACACCCTTCACACGCTTTGTGGCCACATAGGGAGCTCCGCCTGAGCCCCAGTGGGATGGTTCGCATGGCACCGCCGGCCCATTTCGGCGCACCCCGCAGACGTTTCGTGGCCCCACAGGGAGCTCCATCTGGGGCCCTAGTGGGAAAGTTCGGAAGGCACCGCCGCTCCATTCCGGCACACACCTCGCACGCATGACGGCCCCGCCCCATCTCGGCACACCGCTCGGACGCTTCGTGGCCCCATGAGGAGATACACCGAAGGCAATACTCACAACGACGGTTCCCTCGCCAGGGTAGTTTTGCTTTATTGCTTTTCCCGGAAAGGGCATAAGCCCAGGGTTCTCTTTTAGCAGGTTTACCCCCAGGTTTGACGTGAGGTAGGCCGGCGAATATCTTTTGCGATAAAGATCGAGGTCGAGGTGGGCCGGCGAATTAAAATATGAGGTTGTCTCGAGCGAAACGCGTGTTTTCAGAGTTTGTTGAGGATGTCTCGAGCCAAACGCTTGTTTTGTGTTATATGTTGTCCTCTCCTGGGGACCTGTATTCAGAGGATCTCTCAAGTGAAATGCTTGTTTCCACGTGCCCAGGTCTTGAGGATGTCTCGAGCGAGAGACGCTTGGTTTCACGCCTCCAGGTTGCCCAGACAGATATCTAGAATGAGGATTTGTTAAGGATGTCTCGAGCCAGAGGCTTGCGGATGTCTAGCATGAGGATGTGTCGAGGAAGTCTCGATCGAGACGCTTGTTTGCACGTGTCCAGGTTGCCCAGGCGGATACCTCGCATGAGGAGGTGCTGAGAACGTCTTGAGCGAAACGCGTGTTTTCACGTGTCCAGGTCGCCCAGGCACAGCACAGCCCTCGGCACGGTACATCAATCTCGATACCCTTAGCATTGCAGCCTGCCACACGTCCCGCACGCCCTGCCTACAGCCCCCCCCCCCCGGCAAGCGAGGGGGGGGGGGGGGCCGTGCGGACTCAACCGCGACGGGAAGCCGTCGGGCTTCGCCCGCCTGCAGTTCACGAGCCCCCAGGCGGCGCAGCTCTGCAGGGAGCGGCTGCACAAGCAGCCCATGGGCGACAGGTACTCGAAGAGGAGCAAGATTTCATGCAGTGGGGGCGCGCATCAAGAAGCCAAAAAGCTTTTTGTGAGGGTATCCTTGGTTTCTTCGCTCCTCGCGCTGCGCGGTGGCTTCCCGCGGCCGTTGAAGGAGCTGCTGCGTTCAGGGTGCTCCAGGTTTCCTCCCAGGTGCACCTCGCGCACGGGTTCTCAGGGTTGGGTTTCTTGCGAGGGTTTCTTGCGGCCACGCCCGCACTGTAAGCATGGTCTTTTCAGGCATGCTCCCGACTGGAACACAGCTTGGCGGGCCGTCTTTGGTTGTTTCTGGCCACCCCGGGGCCCTCGCGAGGCCCCTGGACCGTCCGACCCTCGACGGTTGACGAACAGCAGGCCCCTGTAGGGAAAGGGTCGTGACTTCTGGGGGCCCCGTCTTCGAAAAGTCGGGACCTCGCATGCTTGGAGAGCTCTACTCGGACTTCTGGGATCTGCGCTGGATCCCTCTGGCGCCACCTCCGGCGCCGCCCCCTGGCGCAGATCCAAGACTCCGCGCGGAGCATCCGAGAGTCCACGTCGGTGCCCTTACCCGCCGGGTGATCGGGCGGGCGCACGCTGTGTCGCTCGCGGCGGTCTTCAGCCCGCCACGCGGCGACCTTTCCAGTATTCTGTGGCCTGGGAGCTCGAGGGATCGTCGAGGCAGGGCGAGGTCCAGAAAAAACTGTGGCCCAACTGGGCAGCAGGGAGAGGCAGAGAGAGGAAGCAGGAAGACAGGGCACATCCAGCCCGCCCCAGCCAAGGTGCCCTTGCCTCTCTTCCCCGAGGTACGTCGAGGTGCTCGCCTGCGTGGACCGCACGGCGAAGACGCGCCAGCGGCGCGCCGCGGAGGCAGGCGCGCCGGCGGGTGCGCCCGACGCCTGCGGTCCGGAGGGCGACTGCGATCAGGAGAGGGTCCTGCAGGAATGCCGCGACCACATGCGGGCGCAGGTCGGAAACTGGAGCATATACATTACCTCTGGTGAGGCTGTTCTGCAATCCCCTGACTTTTGGAGGATCGGGGACGACGTCGGGGTGGTGTGGTGTATACTTGTTTCCCCGTTCTCCTGGGGAGACAACGGAACATGTGTACACCAGGGTCCCGTATACACCAGACTCCGCTTTCCTGTGCGAGGTTTAGTGCGGGGCCAGAAAAAAGTGACGGTGTACAGAGTTCGATTCCTTAGCAGGGGCCCCAGTTGCTGCTGAGCATGCTCGGCATCGCGCTGTCGGATCCGGCGCGGAACTTCCTCCGCCGCACGAACCTGGGCCTGAAGCACTTCCTCGCGCGGCATCCGGAGGAGTTCCGGGTCGAGGGCCCGAAGGGTGGCGAGAAGGTGCTGTGGGCTGGCGCGGGAATGGGGCACGATTTCCAGAGCATGATGGCCGCCGATCCCGCCATGCAGTGGGCCCTGGCGGCAACCATGAGGGACCGAGAGCCAGGCAACGAGTAAGAGCAAAATACATCAACATCAACTGTCGGAGATCTGCGTGGATTTCTCGAATCGTCGCTCCCTCCCCTCCTTGGCGCGCGGAGCGCACCACAGGATACAGCGCAGACCCCAGAGATCCGCACGGACCTCCTGAGTTCCAGCACAGGTCCAAAATGTGTGAGCAGCTCCATCACAGATGCAAGAGATCCAAGAGGTCCAAGCGATCTACGATGTCCAAAGCTTATGTACCCTGAGATCCCAGGTTGCAAACACCATGCACGACAAATCACGGCTGGAGCCATTGACCCATATAGGGGTGCGGTTGCCCAGGCTTGCAAGTGGGTTGCGAGTGCCCTATGTGGCCCAGGGTTAAGTCGGGCCTGTCCCCCTACAGGGGGATTTTCGACGAAAAATAGAAAGATACCCCCAACATAGTCAAATAATAGTCCAAAAATAGTCGGGGGACTATTTTTTGATTATTTTTTGACCTTCTTGGGGTATTTGTTGGGTATGTTTTATTGTTCGTCGAAAATTCCCCTGTAGGGGTCAGGCCCGACATAAGCCTAGGGGGATGCACAACTCCGCTCAGTGGGTTGAGCCCTCCTCTTGGCCAGGATGTTTACGCCCCCCTCGCCACATGGGGCATTTGCAACCCACGGATGCGGATGCGCCAGGTACGGGGAGGAATAGGAGGAGGAAGAGGAGGAGGAGGAGGAGGAGGAGGAGGAGGAGGAGGAGGAGGAGGAATAGGAGGAGTAGGAGGAGGAATAGGAGGAGGAGGAGGAGGAGCAGGAGGAGGAGGAGGCGGAGGAGGAGGAGGAGGAGGAGGAGGTCAGGGTATGCCGTGTTCTGCTGCCCGCAGGCACCCCGAAGCCGCCAGGCGGCCCCCCGGCCCGGGCGGGGCACGCCCAGGCCGGCTCCGGCGGGGGGCACAGCTTCGAGGGCACGCCGAGCCTCTGGGGCACCCCGCCCTTCGGCGGCGGCGGCGGCACGCCGGGCAGAGCGAAGAAC